GCGCCACAAAACCAAATACATAGGATGTAATACATATGCTGCGCATTAGGAGAAAGGCCGCAATAAATGCAGCTAGATCATCTTATTTTGCATGAGAATCGAAGGAATCGCGAGATATTTCGCACACACGAGTATAAGAGAGCAGCATCGCGTGCTTGATATTCAAATTTTTCGGCAACAAATACACGTTATAATAATAAAAACTAAGAACCGACATCGTGCGGTTGCAGCTCGGTAAATTACGCGAACATCATTTTTGGGCAACAAACAACGCATTACAGTCCGAGTGCATCATTATATCGTCACGATCGTCTTCGTCATCGTACAGCAGCGATCGTGTTGGGATATATATGCTATATAATAGTTGCGAGAATAAGGAGAAATAATAAAAGGCGTTTCTTGCTGCCGAGTTAGTTGCTTCACTTTTTTACATACTCTCGAAATACTTCCTTCTCCTTCTCTCTCTCTCTCTCTCTCTCTCTCTCTCTCTCTCTCTCTCTCTCTCTCTCCTCAGGTCACCGAAGTTATAATAATGTATATATAAAACGATTCGAACCTCGCGGACTCGACGAGAAAGAGTAAAGTAAAAAAAAAAAACGAGCTGCAAATATGTCTCGCGCGGACGCTTTTTCGTGTTTGGATTACACAAAAGGGCGGCGGCGGCGGTGCGCAACGCAATTCCCGAATCATATACCACGATATAACGCGCGCATCGAGGAGCCATTGCCGAATCAACGGGAGGAAAAAAAAAGAGAGAGAGAAGAGATCAAGCATCCGAATTCGTGGAGTAATTAGCGTCGAGTCCGAATCGTCGAAAGGCGCGCGCGCGCGCCTCGACGCCGTTTCGAAGGGATATATAATAGTTCTCAAAGCTCGCGAAGACGATTCTCTCTCTCGTGGTGCATAACGTGTATGGAAAAAAAGGGAGCTGGCAGCTATATCCAAGGAGACGCAACTGTGACGACGATGACGAAGACGACAACGTGGCAGGAGAGAGAGAAAATGCTTCGTAGAAGCGCTTCGGAAGCTTCTTTGGCGCGCGTCCCACGTTGAATTCCGCGGATCGTTGATTTTTACAATATTGCGCGCATCATACCGTGTATATAAAAATGCGCGCTCCAAGCTACACACAAAGTATTTCTCTCGCTTAAATACGCGTACGAGGATCGAGTGCGAATGATCCTTTTTAACGAAAAATTAATACCCTCCCCCCCTCGAGAGTAGCGTATTTATAAGCATTTAATACGTATAAGCTATTTTGTATAAGCCTGAAGCGCGTAGCTGCCCTCTTATATTGCGCCTAGTAGCGCCCGTAGCTGCAACCGGGGAGGTCCGTCCGCGCGCGTGACCTTGCTAATACACACACAGCCAGCTCTATGCAGAAGCAGCAGCATCAGCAGCCAAGAGTTGCATCATATAAATCCGAACTTGGATTATAAAGCCGTGCGTACGTGTAGCAGTCGCTCAGTACTGCATTGCACTGGGTGTGCGGCGAGTTGGCTGTCTATATATAATACATAAACGCACACGCATGAGCGCGTGAGTACATATCCGCGTCTCGCGGCTTTTATAATGCGGCACTTGCGTATATATAGTTTTTTCTCCTCTTCTTCTTCTTTCTTTCTCTTTCTCTGATGCTGCTGCTGCTGCTGCTGTAACCGCGAGAGAAAGAGCGGAGCGAGAGAGACACTTTAAAAGCCGAGCTTAAGACGACCGATTGGTGTTAAAGATCTTAGTGCTTTATGTACTTTCTGCGCTGCGCTTCCTGCTCACTCGCGTATTTTACTATTTACTCACTCCTGGCAGCAGCTAGCATAAAATCCTTTACTCTCTCGCTCACTTCGAGCTAAAGACGGCGCACCGTTCAGTCCGAGCATATATATACGTATGCACCGCACGCAAGCACATAATCTATCACACACGGATGAACTTTTCTTTCCTTCGTTTTTTCTTCCCCCGTTTCAAGCGCATTGAATTAAAAGTCATAAATCGCTCCGAGGCAAGATTTCGTCACACAGTGCGCACTACTACTGGTGGCACGTATCTATATAAATTCAGCGCGTGCGGCAGGGTCATATCGTGCAATTTCAACGCCAAAATTATTATTACAGCAACGTCGTCGTCCGCGTCGCGGTAGTGCAAGTTGCGGCGGTGGTGGCGGCATTTTATTCTCAAGGAACTGCAACAGCTTACTTCGGGCGTAAGACGCGGCGATCGCGAAAAAGAGAGCACGCGAACTTTCCAAATTTATATATATTTATACGAGCGCAGCCGATCAATCAAAGTCTCCTCGTCCCCCGAAAATGCATCAGTTTATATACCACTATACACGACGAGGTTGCAGCTCGCGCCGCAGCTTCGGCTTATAACCAAGGGAAAAAAATACCTTTTTGCCGCGGCGCAGGAGAGCGATCTCTGCTCGAGTTCGCACATTTATGTGCGTATGCCATTTCGCAATCGCAAACGCGAGCCAGTCCATAAAACTTCTCGATTGATCGGCAGCGGCGCGCAGCAGCGAAACGCGCGTCTGTGCGTGCGGCAGCAGTTAATATCAACACCCACGCACTTTAAAGGCGAAAGTCTCTCCTTGCAGGCAGTCGTGCGAGGTGTGTTGAACGAGTTCGAGCTCATAATCGGAGAATATAAATTACAAAAGGAGATCTCTCGCGCGCCGAGAGTCCGAGAGTCTCAAAACGTCGAGTTTTGTCTCTCTCTCTCGAGGTGTAGTGCAGAGAACGTATACGCGCGAATATACGTACAGATTATTATTAGATACATTATTGGCTGCGTGTGTTATAGCCTTCGTCGTTCGTATGATACGTTCGGCTTCAAGACTCGATGGTTGAAAAGAGAAAATAAAAAACAACAACAACAGATACGTTATGTACTGCAATATCACGGAAAACGTTGTGTTGGCAGCTTCGATTTCACGGAAAGTCGATGCAACCATTCGACGCGAGGACGTGTCTCGAGAGCTATCTCTCGCTCTCTTTCTCTCATAGCGCAGACAATGGGATTTTTCTCGCTGCGAGTCGAGTTTTTTCTTACGTCCGACGTATTGCGACACGGTATTTTCGAGAAACTATACCTATCGACCCTGTATAAATACGTCAAAGGGAAATCGAGTCTGTCCGCTGTGCAACTGAGCAACGCGTCGAGCTTCCGATCGTGCTTGGTTCACGATGCAACACAAAAACGATTATCGAGAAAATCTTTCGAGAGGCCCCTTCAGAAAACTTTTACCGCAATTTGTAAATTTCAACCATTAGAAAATTTCATATTAAATTTAACAATTTGATGGACGCGCTGTAGCTGCAGTACAGCATGTATGTATACGAAAAACGTGTATCGCGAGATGACATTTTCACTCAAGAACTTCCTCCTTTTAATGTTCATCAATTACTACCATATAGTGGTGTCTAGTACTACTTCTGCTGCCGCTGCTGCGGCTGCAACACGCCACATCGTTATTTCGCTTTAAAATTACGTATGGCAAAATATGCCAGTCTGAGTAATGAAAGCTATTATAAAATGAAATGTAGCTCTCTGCAGCCGATGCGCGCACAATATTATCATTATTTCAATTGTAAATTCAATGGCCGCCGGTCGTGCGCGCGCGCGCGAGCCAGTGGTGTATAGTGTGAGAACGAGGACAACGTGTCGGAGAAAAAGTAAAGGAAAGATAGAGACTGAGAGAGAGAGAGAGAGAGGAGATGAAATTCGTTTGCGGATTACTTCAATTCAATTGTTTATCACGAACGAGGTCAATAATTCTCTCTCTTTCTCGTGTGTTTTTTCGATCGAGAAGAGTTAAAAAATTTCCTTCAACGAGAAAAAAAAGGAACGAGAAATCCGAAGGTCGTTGGAAGCTTTTCAAAGTTGCGATAAAATAAAAATGAAAAGTAAGAGTCCATTGGAGTGCGCGCGTCTCATCATTGAGATCGACGTTATTGCATGTGAAAAGAAAAGCTGCGCATTATGTATTACCAGAATTACGTTGTAAAAAAACACATCAAAAAGTAAAGTAAAATAAGCACCGATTGATGCACATGTAAATTGGCTCTACAGCGCGAACCGTGAGTTCACAACCATAGCCATCTCTTGAAATTTCTTTCTGATCTAAGACCATTTTTTTCTACATTTCATTCAAAAACACTATTTTTATAATTTTTTGTTATGCTTTGACGGCCGAGTCCTACCACGCCTCTCGATAAAATAACAACAATAAAGCAGCGACAACAATGCACCGTTAGAAGAGTCATCTGCGTGTATACACGCTGTATACATGCAGCATCACCGATAGAAATAGACGCAGAGCCGCCGCTGCTGCACGCAACGATGTAGGTTAAAACCATAATCGAATCTTTTTTTCCTTTCTATTTAATCGACTAGCTACGTCCCCTCTCTTTCTCTGTCAATCGATTTTTTCGGAGTGTAAGCATCGTTATTTATTTATGCAATGACAACGCGGACACTAACTGGCACGAGACACGATATAACAATGTTATGTATCCTCGGCATGTACGAAACAATTACACGAGACTCATTCGTCATGATGTGTCCCTTTCTCTCGGTCTCTTTTACGATATTATATAGTAATTTTTACTGTACGCCTTGGTAAAATTTGCTTTGAGGGTAATTTTTATGAAACTAGCTAGAATAACTTTTAATTTCTTATTTGTCAGTTATAGAAAATTATGGATCGAAAAATGTTTATTATTAATTAAACTTTAGATACGTTATGCAACTTCTTCAATGATTTAATTATAATGAATTATATTTTTGCGTCGTTCGAATGATAACTGAGAAATTTCATAACATGATTTGTAACTATTATTATAAATTTAAGCCATATACACTGGAAAACTGACGAAAAGCAGATGATTTGTGTTCATTCTGTTGTTTACTTATTGCGCGGCATACGTGACCTCAGCTTGTGTTGCCCGACATGGTGTTTTGTTGTGCATGCCTAATAGCGCTACGCTACTGTACACGAAGGACTGAGAAGAGCTGGTCGCGAATAAGCTGGTGCGTAGACACGCAGTTTTTCAAATTATAGCGAGCACAACACAGCCTTCTTTGCCAGTTGTTCAATGTAAGGTTAGTTTGATATATAAAGTCATCACAAAAACATTGATTGTTAACGAAATCCCAAATAAGAAGAATGGAATCCAGTGGATCATTCAACTGTGATGTTAGGTAATTTGCATTTCATAAGAATGAAATTATAAAAATATTATAACCTAATACTTGAATTTATTTAATTTATTTCAGAGTGAAAGAGGAGCCTAGCGATGTGTCGCTCAGTGAAAATAATTACAAAATCATCGATGAAAAAGCCCATCTTAAACACGCTCAACTCTTACCATTTCCGCAAAAGAATTCTGTAAGTATTGATAATTATGTATAGCTCGCATTATTGTAATTTTTTTGTTAAAATTCTCACATTTTTCTAATTTTTACTCAACAGACCCATACCCTTCGAAAATGTGACATTAAACTTGAAAAAGAACTTGATGAAGAAGTGGAAATAGTTGTTGAATGTGAAGATGTCAAGCCCAATATTAATTTATTAGCAGTTGAAATAATTGTCGACGATACTCGAACTCACCTGCAGAATGCAAAAAATAGCGATTTTATTAAAGTTCAAAACAAAATAAAAATAGATTCCGCGGAAGAAGTGAAACAAGAATTTGTTGGTGACGATGCCAGAGAATTGAATTTCAATTTCAACTGTACACTTGTCGAACAAAATAGTCAAAGAAAAACTCAAAAAAAGTTTAACCACGAACATAACTTCGAAACAAACATCGATAAGGTGCATAATAATAAATTCGCCACATGTGAAATATGCGGTAAGAAATTTTCATATAGGAGTAGTCTGAGAAGGCATGTCAGAGTATCACATAAATACATCACCCACGCATGTGACATATGCGGTAAGAAATTTACACAAAAAAGCCATCTTAAAGACCACATCGATTCGGGCCATAATGGTATCACGCGTAATTGTGATCAATGCGGAAGAAAATTCTCAGTGAAAGGTCTTAAGATCCATATTGATATGGTGCATAATGGTATCAAATATTTATGTGATGTGTGCAAAAAGAAATTCTCAAATAAAAGTTATCTCAAAATCCACATCGATGCGACGCACAATGATGTCCGATATGCGTGTGGAAATTGCGGAAAAAAATGTACAACAAAAAATAATCTCAAAACCCATACCGATACGATGCATAATGGTGTCACATACGCATGTGATAAGTGTGGCAAGACATTTTCACATAAGAGTAGTTTGAAAACTCACACTGATTCAATGCACAATAATGTCACACATACATGTAATATATGCGGAAAAAAATTCAAACAGAAGAGCTACCTCAAATACCACGTAAATGCTGTGCATAAAGGTATTACTTCATTTAAGTAGTAATCTAATTTCAAAAGGTACATAGATACGGAACATCGCTCAAGCCTAGCAATGAAAGTATACAATTAAACTTTGTTGAAAGTATACATTTACACTTTCGGAAGATAAATTTACTAAATTTTTTTATTAATATCATGAGTTCTTCGAATTTTACCTTATTATGTAAATGTTTAACTTAAAAAAAATCAATAAACTTTTGAGGAAAAAATGAAGCACGTTATTAATTGTAAGCTTAAAAAATTTCACTTTTCTGATCACTTTATGTTTTCAAACCCAAGAGGATTTTTCTTTGATTAATCTATGGTACAACGCCAAAAAGAGTCTGCGAAAAACTTCGAATGGTTTTGTTAATATCAAACATGGAATAAGTAGTGATATTTATAAAAATAACTTTAAACGAAATTTTCGCTGTTCGAAAGTTTTCTTATGTTTCTGAGACCTCAATGAATAGTTATTCGGGTTTAGTGATCGCGTCAAATCGCATCTTTAGCCCTGAATTTTAAGGGCATTTTTATAGAGATGCAGTTGATTAATCATTGATAATCGATTAAAAAAATAAATGGAAAATCGCTCTCTGCGACTCCAAAAGAGTTATTCAATTTATAACGACTCGATTGTTTGCGTAGAAAAATATTTTTTTCCCCTATAACGAGACGAAAGATCAAGTATGATATAAGAGAAAAAAAAGGAAGGACGAAGGAGAGAAAAAAAACAGCAAAAAAGAAAAATAAGAGAATCGAGAGAGAAAGAGAGAGAGAGAGAGAGAGAGAGTGCATGGCGCGGGCGGGCGCGACACACACACACAAGTCACGCGGACCGAACGTACTTATATATTCGCGCACACAGGCGGCAGTGAGTATCGGTAAATCGGTAAGTGATTTATAAAGGCGGTGCATATAAATTCAGAGTTGCGATGGTGGTGGTGGCGGTGGTAGCGATGGTGAGCGCAGCAAGAGCATCAGCAGCACACGCTGCTGCGTATGCACAATCTCGATCGATTCCCCTATGACATCATAATTATTCAGGGACGAGAGAAGAAGTTTATATATATAGGTAGTATATATGCATCTATAGAATGAGAGAAAGAGAGAGAAAAGCCTGCAGGAATATCGTTGTCTCTCTACTCTACTCTCGGGCTGCGCGAGGAGTCCCGTATAGGTGCGCGTGGAGTGCGACAATGATGCATTGCGCTGCCTGCAAAGTATAATACTCGGCGCTCCGCAATGTTCTTTTATGTTTGTGTGTACGCGTATACGCGTGTACCACGTAAAAGTCAAAGAGAGAGAAAGAAAGAAAATATATATGTATAAATATAAATGTGTATTTGTTGCTTTTTACAGCGCACAAACGGTTATCTGTTGCTGCTGCTGCTGTGCGGCTTTGATTTAATGCACTATGGGTGGATGCTGTTGTTGTTGTCGTTGTTGCAATGCAGCAGTATAAAGATTTTTTATTAGATCGATTGACAATCGGATTTGAATTATAAGCCAACCTCGGCTACGTCCGATCACCGAAAGGGTATCGTATATAGTTAAGCCAAAGGAAATGCCCCTGTCTGTCTGACTCTGTTTGTGTGTGTGTGTAGATACAGGTACATTATATATCCGCTCTCGCGATCATTCGCCGCGGCTGCAGTTCTTTCTCTGACCGATGTGTGCAGTGAATTGCATCTTTGCCGCGGCCCAAGCAACATGTCTTCGTCCCTTGGTTTGCGTACCTGTGTGTATATGTGCACACACACACATTTCAACTTAATGCTACGCGAGCTCATATATCTATACACACATATATTATATTAAATACTTAAATACCTTTCACGGCTTATTAGTAAACGACGACTTTTCATCGCCGCTTAAAATGTATGTGTGTGTGTGAGCGCGGGATATATACGTGCATGTATTCGCGGCACACAACACACGTTAATTGGTTATAAGCCAGGTAGGCTCGCGCGCGCGTGTGCGATCGGTAGTAGCTGCTCTTTCTGCGCTCGCTGAGCCTTTGAATCCTCCTCCTCTCTCTCTCTCTCTCTCTCTCTCTCTCTCTCTCTCTGTCTGTCTCACTCTGTCTCTTCAACGAGGAGTAGACGGGAAAGAGGAGGAGGAGGAGGAGGAGGTCAAGCTAGTTTTCTGCATTCATTAATTTTTCGGCCTCGCGCGCGCGTCTATATGGCAAATAAAAGCTCGCGCGCGGACAAAAACAAACACACGAGAGATAGATGGGTCGATCGTAAAACGAATAAATATTAATTCTGTCGTCCAGACTCTGCTGCGCTGTGTTTATGCTCGGCCGTGCGTCGCTCGGTCTATATAATATATTACAAAAATCTATACACTCATACACCCGGGCGCGCGCGCACATATAAGCAGCGTGTGTGCATATAATATGAAGACAAAAAAAAAGGAAGGAAAAGCAAGAAAAAAAAAGAGGAGTAAAGGAAAGGAATATTATATGCGTGCAGTTACGAACATGTCCTCGCGCGGCAGGAGCTCGCGAAAGTGTGTGCGATACGTGTATGTGTAAGTGCACGTGGATGTGCCTGTTATAAATATCCCGCGAGGAGCCAAAGGCCAAAGGCGTGGGACTGTTTGGACGTGACTCCTGCAGCGGCGATCTCCTCTCTCTCTCTGTGCAGCCGAGTAGAAGAGAAGAGAGAGAAAGAGAGAGAAAGAAAAGGAAAAGGAAGGATCGAACGACGGATAGGCATTCTTTTGCGCACCCGCAATGATGCCGACGTTACGATCGCTGCTGCTGCTGCTGCTGCACTATGTGTTTATGTATAGGTACACACACACACATATACGTGTGTACCCTTGTGCATCGCGCAAGCCTCTCATCTTTCGATATATCGATGTTGTGTGTATGTGTGCGCGCAAAGATGCAAATAGACAGCGAGAGAGAGAGAGGAGAGAGAACGAAAGATCCGTAAGAAGGATTAGAGTAGGTAAAAACGTGCATCGCTTTTCTCTCTATATGTATAAGAGAGAGAATTGCGAGTAGAAAAATTATAGCTATCGTTTGGTTTATCAAAAAAAGGACGCTATCGTATTGTATAAGGAGTGTATATACCCGCGCGCAAGCTCGAGCGATCGTGCATTTATAGCCGTAATATTGTGGTGGCCGCGCATGTAACCGAGCGCAGGGGCGCATTTGACCCAAATATCGTTCAACGGCATGACGTCGTAGTAGCAGCAGCAATATAATATATATAAGCTCGTCAAATTGCAACTAGCCGATCGTGATTCGTATAAATACCAGAGAGAGAAAGAGATGATAAACCCCCCCGCCTGTGTTGGAGCTGCACATCTATAAATGTGATATTAAATAATCGTGACTCGGAGTCCACGCCACCGAGAACTCGACGACGAACTCGTAGGTATATTATAGGTACACGTCCCCGTTGAGAAAATGAGGAAGAAGAGAGAGAGAGAGAGAGAGAGAGAGAGAGAGAGAGAAGAGTCGAGACTTATGGTACAAGAAAACGATTTCGGTCAACCGATCGCTCATATCTCTTTGCGCGCGCTGCGTTTAGTTGTGAGCTTCGACGAATCACCGCTGCGCGGCTAATGTAATATATTATCCGAGCACCCACGCGAGGAATCGAACGCGGAAAATTATTTATTATTTACCTCCGCGTCATGTCGAATAAAAAACAAACGGTGATTTGTTAATTCTCCGTGTCATGCTTTTCGTTTCCTTTTTTTTCTTTCCGTCTTTCGTTTCTTTTTTCCTCCCTCCTCCCGCTTGCTCGACTCGAGAGCGAGTGAATCTGTATACAGACATGCGCGCGACGCATTTCTGCATCGTGTAATATTCCTTTTTGGACTCAGGTACGTTGCCTGTATGCGGCGGCATAGCGATCTCGAGAGCTTTTTAAATTTGGCGTAATTAATGAGCCACCGTCGCCGCCGCGATCGAAGGAAGAGAAGTCGAAAAAGAGAGAAAGAACGCCTTGGATGGATCACTTAGAGTGCAGGATGAGTGTATCATACGTAATACATTTTTATTGGGCGAAAATAGGCCAACTCGACTCGAATTATCGGTTCGCGCTTCGCGTGCCGCCTCCAATAGAGAATCGCTCTATCGACAATATGAGCGAGAAAAATGAGAAAATTGGCGTATTGTCGATACAACGTATCGAGTAGTTCGAGAACAAAGGCAGAAAGTAAAGCCGTTTAGAAAGCTCTCGTTCGCGGTGCAGCTTTTTTCTCGCGCGGGCGGAGGTGCGAACACAACACGCGCCGATCGCTGCTGCTATGCATGCGACTTTCACCTCGCGATCTCTCGACGTTGCTCTATACGTTTATTGCAATTTATACGCATACACATATACGTAAGCGTGTATATTATGTGCTCGAAAGACATATTGGATCGAAAGAAAAAAAAAACCAACCAAGAATAATACGCGATTTTTTCCGGCTCGCATAAACATTAGTAAAATATTTACCCACGTGGCACAAAAGATCTTTGCGAGCAATATCGAGTCGATATATGCTAGTGGGTACTCTTTCTCTCTCTTTTGTATGCATGAATATACTCTCGCGATATATAGTTTATAATCTTCATTATGCAGAAAGTAAGAGAGAAGATACGATAATGCGTTTGGTTGCTTGCCTTTTTTTCGCTCCTTCTCGTACGATAGAGTTCGCAAAATTTTCTTCTCGGCCTCTCTCTCGCTCTCGACAATTATTCGTGCTGCATAACTCTGAGAGAACTGTGTGAGTTGTGGTTCATTTTATATAAGGCTCGGAACGCGCGCATATAGAGTGCACCCAGGACTCTTTTCTCTTGGAATATATCGTAAATAATATACAAGCTAAAGTAAAGAAAAAAGGCGAACAAAAAAAAGCATCAGCAGCGCCGAAGCCGAAGAAGAAAAGAAAAAGAGGGGAGAGGAGGGACTCGTCGTCGTCGTCGTCGGGATTTTTGTGCGCCTTGTGTACCGGCCGCGCGCGTCTCGTAACGTGCGCGGCGCACATATACGTGTATATGTACGAGGAATCGTCCGCGGTGCAGTTTGTTTATGACACGCGCTCGCAGATTGTGTGTACGTACGTGTGCAATATGTGCATATGTGCACCTATATGTATATAGGCGCGCGTTATGTTCGTTACACGTTATTAC